AGCTTGTTTCCCAGGACAAGACCTGTGGGAGGAGGAGGACAGTGTGGGCCTGGCTTAGCTGCTCAGTGATGCTGTTAAAACCGGGCCCACACCCCCCCCCCATCTTAGCTCTGGGGGGTTGTCTTCTCAGCTGGTCTCCTCGAAGCTTCAGATTATGGCCCACCTCCCCTCATCATGCCTCAGTCCCAGGGGGCAGAGAGAACACTGGACCAACCACAGAACTTTCAAACCTATACATCCTTTCCATGGACAATAGCAGGGACCGACCATGAAGGGCAGCTGATGGGCAGCCCAGAAGTCAGGTTCCAGTGGTGTTTCCTTCCTGTGGAGACCCTGTGGGTGTGGCAGAGGGAACAGGCTGCCTCTTGGATTCCTCACTGTAACACATGGAGAGTAACAGTGACTGACCTCAGGGGCCGTAGTGACTGTTAAATGTTGAGCATTTGGGATAATGTCTAACGAAGGAGATAGTTAGTCTTCAACAAGGGATGAGGGGAATATAAAGAAGAGGGGGAGTCTCTGGTTCAATAAATCAATCTATTTTCAAATAATCCTTCCGTCCTCCAGCAGTTCCTGCTCAAACCATGTGCAGCCTGGTGTTGGGAAGAAGTGTTGACAAGAAGCATTGGGGGTCTCAGCAGGTGGTCGAGGCAGAGACTCAGGACAAGGCTGGCCCCTGCTCCTGGCCCCCTCGTCCTGCCTTCCCTGATGGGGACTCCATCCTATCATCTACCAGCTCCTCCTCTGCCCCTGTGTGATCCTCCTGTCTCCTGACCTGTGCCTCGCCGGGCCTCTCCCCAGGACTCCCAGCACGTCCTGTGGGCTGCTGCCCTCATTTCTGTGTCTCCTCCCGCCCCTGCTGCAGGTGTGCCAGGGGGAATGCCAGTCCCAGAAGTGACCACACCATGCCCTAGTGAGCAGGACGTATTGAGAGGGGCCTCCATTCCCTTTGCTTTAAATTAACCTCTGCCTTTCGGTGTCTCAGGACCTGGGCGAAGCCCCTTTCATCCCCAAGCTTGTCCAGACTGCACCAATTCTCAGAGCAGGGAATGACTACTGAGCACCATATTGCTGAAGCAAAGTTCCTTTTCCCTTTTCCCAAGGTTGCAGGGAGACAAGGTTGAGCCCGGATTCACACCCTCACTTTCTGCCCCTTCCCTCCCTCCATTCTTTCCTCTCTCCTCCCTGCTTTTCTTCCCTCCATCTGCCCAGAGTGATATATCTTTCTTTTTGATCCTGTTTCTTCCTCTCCGTGCTCCCTTACCTCCTCTTTGCCCTCATGGCTGCCTCTTTCCTTCCCTCCCAGCTTCCCCTTTTACTTCATTTCAACTCACTGAGAACATAAAAGAAGGCCCATGGGAATGGAGATATATCCCATGTTCATGGATGGAGAGTCTCAGGGCCTCAGAGACGTCTATGCCTGCCAAGATGGCTCTACACATTGATGATAGGGTATCGCATGAAACACGAAAAGTTTGTCCATCACTCAGCTGGTTTGGCTCATTGGTTGAGCTTGGACCTGTGATCTAGAAGGTTTGTGCATGGGCACTTGCCCAGGTTCTCGGATCTTTTCCCAGTAGGGGGTATGTAGGAAGCAGCCAATGAATGTTTCACTCAACATTGATTTTTTTTTCTCTCTCTCCCCCTTCCTTCCTCTCTGTGAAATTAATTTAAAAAACATATTTTAAGGAAATTTTGCCCAAAAATTCATGTAGATCTGTACAAGGTCAATACAACTTCAAAGGTGAAGCTAAGGTGGATGGGCATCCCAGATATTGGACCTACACTGAAGCCCTGGCAGAGCAGCAAGGTAGTCGCCCAGACATGGACAGGTGAGGCAATGGAGCATAGGAGTGAGTCAGAGACAACCTACACACACACACACATACACACACACACACACACACACACACACACACACACACCCTAAGGTTGTGGCATTGCACATCAGTAGGACAAAATGACATTGAAGGAAAGTCATTAAATGTCCTTGCATTGGCTATCCAATACGAAATAAAAAATGACATGCCTATGTCATGTCATATACATACATGACAAAACTAATACATTTGAAAACCTCAAAAATAAAGGCATGTATACATGGAAAGACTTCATGAAGCCAGAGCCTAGCCACACATTGAAAGAAAGCATTTGCAATGGAACTGACAAGGCTCACTATCCAGCTTGTCTGAAAGCTCTCCTAAAGCAGGAGGGACAGGCGCCTGCCAGCGGTGCCCTCCCCACCCTGTGAAGGCAGAGGGACCCAAGCAGAGGATCAAGCCCAGAACGAGGAACTCAACGCACATGTGTCCCTGATCCAAGGTCCACACTTTCCCATCATTCAGCAGGAGGCAGGTGGAGAGCCTGCACTGGGCTCAGGCTTGGGCTGGGTGCAGGGTGGTGTGGGGAGGGCTCCAGCCTGGCCCTCCCAGGGGAGCAGGGCCTGTCCCATCCCCTCTCCCTGCCATCAACACTTTCACTTTCCTTTTGCCAGAAGCCTGGGTCCTGCTGCACAGAGGAGCCTGTCTCCAGCAGAGGTCAGCTCTGTCCAGAGGGAGGGCCCCAGAGGAGGAGGGAAGGTGGGTCTGAGGCTGAGGAAGATCACACCCCAGGGCCCGCCCACCCCTGCAGCCAAAGCAGGAAGGAAGTGGGGCCTCAGCTGAGAAGGCAGGAAGGTTCTCCATCCAGGGACTTTCCTAAAACCTTGGCCTGTGAGCAGAAGTGCAGCACCAGCTCCGGGGACCAAAGGCAATGCAGCAGCAACAAGGGAACCAAGACTTCACTCCGGTGCCCTGGCCCAGGTACTGCCTCCACTCTGACCTTCTCTGCAGCCCTTTCTACTTGGGGGCCCTGAGGTGTCTCTGTCCTCAGCCTTGTCCTCCCGCTGGTCTAGCCTAGCTTCTCTCCCGCTCTGGGCACCTTCTCTGCAGGTCCCACTCCATGGGGGCTTTGCCCTCTCCTGGGGAAGCCCCCACAATTGCTTCTGAATGGCCCCTCCTGCCCCTCGCCCAGGCCTGTTGTCCACTTGGTCCTCCTCTCAGTCTGCCAGTTGTGGGCTGGCTGTCCCCTCCCTGCCCGTGGGGCCGCTGCTCTGTGGCCTTTCCTGTGCCCTCTTGGCCATGAGACTTGCACTAAAGGATGAGTGGAGCACTGGGGGCATTTGGCTTGAAGCACTTGGATCCACTTTCTGTGCTACTGACCCCGTTATCCACACAGAGTGGGAGGAGCTCGCTGAGCAGGAAGGGGAGTCCTCTCTCCCAAGGTGCCAGCACTGTGAGCAGAAGAGCAAAGTCAGGCTGTCCCCAGAGGCATCCCCGCCCTCCTCGCGTTTATAGTGCGCCCACCGGTGGGGGAATCGCTGTTTACAATGAGGGAGAAAAGCCTCTCAGCCAATAGGGCCCCGCTGCCAGCTGACGTCATGCAAGGGCTGGACATGGCTTTGCCTGGGCAAGGGACCGGCTCTGTCACTCAGCAGCCCTGTGACTTGGACAGGCTACTCCCCTCTCTGTGTCCCGTTCCCTCCTCTGTAAAATGGGGTGAGGGCCCTGGACTGGGGAGGAATAGAGGAGTTCAGATACAAGGAGCTCTTAGAACAGTAGCCGGAGCCTGTGGGTTTAGGTGTTAGCCTGACATTAAATAATAGTAATAAACATGCATAGGTGAAATATCAGTCATGAATTGCACCTTAATATGAAAATCTAATGTTTGGGGGTGGAGGCAGTTTTATTACTCATTTTTGTATTCAAATGACTGGGGGTAGGGAGTTTGGCGTGTATTGTTCAAAGCAGCAGAGCCGGGCCCTAAGGAAGAGGACAGGAGCCCCCCCACTCGCCCCACTGTCCCTGCAGCCCCTACCCTGCTGCTCTCCCCCAGCTGAAGGCAGGGGTTACTGGGAGGCAGGGTGCCCAGGGTGTCCATGGGGTGTGTTCAGGAGTCACCGGATAGGTGAAACTCCTAGGAACACTGAATTGTCTGTTTTCTCTCTTGCCCACTGCAACCCAATGAGAAGAATGTATCCCAAGACCTTCAACTTCAACTTCCAAAACCTAAATAGCTATGGGCGGAAGTCTACCTTCCTCTGCTTTGAAGTGGAAACATGGGAGGATGGCTCAGTTCTTGACTATCAAAATGGTGTCTTTCAAAACCAGGTATGTGCCCCACGATGCTGTCATCAGAGGCAGGAGCTAAGCCAGGGAAGGATGTGGGGAGATGATAATATGGAAAATGCCAGAGGCTTCTTCCCACAACACTGTCCTGTGTTTTAGCCCTGGATGCCCCTGCCTGACCCTCCCAAATCACCATAGACCAGCAGTCACCAACGGGTGGTCTGTGGACCACTGATGGCCCGTGAGGTCTGAAAGGTTGGTGACTGCTGCCATAGACAATGGCATTTGACTTATCCACAAAGCCTCCTCTAGTCACTAGAGTCTATTGAACCTGCTGGCCCTCAGTCGCCACCTCTTCCAGGGCCCTCAAACCGTCTTGGAGAAAGAGCACCTAGGCTTGGGTAAAAGTGCTGATAGGCTTACGTGTATAGAAGAGAGGACATTCGATTGGACTCACATACATAAATGCTTTTTCCATATTCAAAAGCAAAATTTTCATAAAGGCCTGTTTCACCTCCCTGTCCTGTTTCTCAGTGATCGCTCTACTGTTAGTAGAATTCAGCCACTCAGCCAAATTAGCAAAATGGGTCTCAGATCTAGACTATACATACATCAGCGTAAGCACTTTTCTTAAAGCATTCTCCTTGGGAGCTCGGGCAGTTGGCCACCTCAGATTTAATGGTCACATCCTGACGTCTCTCTGATAGGCCGTACATAAGCCTCTGTTACATACTGTGGTTTATCATAAGGAATTTCCCATCCACGTACTAACCAGGCCCGACTCTGCTTAGCTTCCGAGATCAGACGAGATCAGGCACGTTCAGGGTGGTATGGCTGTAGACTAGAGAGGAAGGGAGAGAGAGATAGAAACATCAATGATGAGAGTATCATTGATCAGCTGCCTCCTGCCTGCCCCCTACTGGGAATCGAGCCCGAAACCCGGGCATATGCCCTTGACCGGAATCTAACCTGGGGTCCTTCATTCCACAGGCTGATGCTCTATCCACTGAGCCAAACCAGCTAGGGCAGCACTTGTAGATATTTAATCAGTACAAGATATATGTCTGTTTTGCAGAAATAAAATGGTGCTTAGAGATTCTCCTTAAATATTTTTGTGCTGAAATGCATTTTCTGTTGACCTACGGAATGTTCTGTACAAAACTGTATGGACGAACTGTTGGGCTAGGTACTTATGTTTTTTAAAATCTGGACTTAGCCAAGTATACTTGACCATGTTAAAAATAGTATCTTTGTTATTAAAATGTTGATTGCAAAAAAGAAAAAAAAGAAAGAGGGTCTAGGAAAGCTGGGGCTGCTGTGCACCAGTGCCTTATGGGGCCCTAGGAAGTGCTCTGCTGGCTGGGTCCTCCCCTGGCTACCCGCTCCCTCTTCCAGGCCCAGGATGTGGGATCCCCCGGCGGAGAACCCACACCCACTTCCCGCCTGCCTCCCGCCCGCTCTGGGCCAAGCACTAAGGTCTCCTGTGCAGCGTCCAGCACACACCAGCCCTCCCTTCTCCACCCAGACTGCAGACGTCTCAGAGCCCTTATGGGGTGGACAGGTGTCACTGGGCAGTACTTTCCCATGGGCGTGTAATCAGGGTCACTCAGGTCATTTAACCTTTTCTAGTACCCAGGGGTCAAACTTTCAGAGAAATTGATCAATTTAATGTTGATAACGTACTTTGTAATATATTTAAGATATTGTTTCAACATATCTGTAATAATAAAAGGGTAATATGTTAATTAGACAAGACGTCCTTCTGGACACCATTCCTGATGTCCTTCCGGACGAAGCCAGGGCTGGGCAAAGCCACCCGGGTCCCGGATGCCTGCCAGGGGCCAGAGGAGGGAAGCCGGTGCTGGCAGCCGGGGGAAGTAAGGCCTATTCTTGCACGAATTTTCATGCATCTGTCCTCTAGTAGTTAATATAAAAGTTCTTCGTGAGATAGTTTATTTTTTTTTAAAATATATTTTATTGATTTTTTACAGAGAGGAAGGGAGAGAGATAGAGAGTTAGAAACATCGATGAGAGAGAAACATCGATCAGCTGCCTCCTGCACATCTCCTACTGGGGATGTGCCCGCAACCCAGGTACATGCCCTTGACCGGAATCGAACCTGGGACCTTTCAGTCCACAGGCCGACGCTCTATCCACTGAGCCAAACCGGTTTTGGCACGTGAGATAGTTTACACTCTTCTTTCTTTTTTTTTTTTTTTTTAAAAAATATATTTTATTGATTTTTTACAGAGAGGAAGGGAGAGAGATAGAGAGTCAGAAGCATCGATGAGAGAGAAACATCGATCAGCTGCCTCCTGCACATCTCCTACTGGGGATGTGCCCGCAACCCAGGTACATGCCCTTGACCGGAATCGAACCCGGGACCTTTCAGTCCGCAGGCCGACGCTCTATCCACTGAGCCAAACCAGTTTCGGCTACACTCTTCTTTCATACCACGTCATGGAGATGAGGAGTATATTCCGTATTTGTCGCACACATCAGTGCAGGCGAGCCACATTTCAAGAGCACAGTAGACACCTGTGCTAGTGGCTCCCTGTGGGCAGCACGGCTCTGGGCCCTCCCCGGCAGACAGCACCCAGGGAACAAGCCTGGACACAGCGGCCTGGCCTGGAGTGGGCCCTCAGGATGTTGGAGTTCATGGATGCGTGTGGGAAGGGATGTGTAAATAAAACATTAGGGAGGGGAGGAGTTTACAAAGGGATGAATCGCTCCACTGGCGAGGCTCGGTGGTTGAGCATCGACCCCTGGACCAAGAGGTCACTGATTAGATTCCATTCAGGGCACATGCCCAGGTTGCAGGCTTGATCTCCAGAGCGGGGTGTGCAGGAGGCAGCTGTTCCATGCTTCTCTCTCATCAATGTTTCTATCTCTCCTTTTCCCTTCCTCTCTCTAAAAATTAATAAAAATAGCCCTCGCTGGTTTGGCTCAGTGGATAGAGCATCAGCCTGCAGACTGAAGGGTCCTGGGTTTGATTCAGGTCAAGGGTACATGCCCAGGTTGTGGGCTCAATCCCCAGCAGGGGTCGTGCAGGAGACAGCCGATCAATGATTCTCTCTCACCATTGACATTTTATCCCTCTCACCCTTCCTTTCTGAAATCAATAAAAATATATTTTAAAAAATAAAAATCAATAAAAACATATTTTTTAAAAAATAAAAAGGGGATAAATCAATCAACAACATGACCCTGAGACAATTGCTCCCTGTCCCCTGGTGCCCACCCCCAGTCCTGTCACATGCCTGCTCTGTCACATGCCTGCTTTGTTACGAGGGTCCCCCCACCCTCTCTCCGTTTCTCCCAGTTGGATCCTGGCCACGCAGAACTCTGCTTCATAGAATGGTTCCATGAGAAGGTTCTGTTTCCTGATGAGGTTCGGTGTCCTGATGCGCAATACCATGTCACCTGGTACATATCCTGGAGCCCCTGCTTCGAGTGTGCAGAGCAGGTGGCTGGCTTCCTGAATGAGCACGAGAACGTGGACCTGAGCATCTCCGCCGCCCGCCTCTACTTGTGTGAGGATGAAGATGAGCAGGGGCTTCAAGATCTGGTTGCTGCAGGGGCCAAGGTGGCCATGATGGCTCCAGAGGGTGAGAGCAGAGGGAGCTGGGCAGGAATGTGGAGGTGGGGGGGGCAGGTAGAGGCACCCAGGGAGAGTGAGTGGCAGGGGGACTTGGGAAACTGAGGCAGGAGTGAAGACACCTGGCAAGGAGGAAACTGGGCCCTGAGTGGGGTTGCCCAGGGGAGGCTCAGGAGAGAAAGGCTCCTAGGCCAGACCTGCCCGCTCTCTCCCCTCTTTGCTGCAGACTTTGAATACTGTTGGGATAACTTTGTGTACAACCGGGGATGGCCCTTCACGTATTGGAAGCATGTGCGAAGAAATTATGGTCGTCTGCAGGAGAAGCTGGATGAAATCCTCTGGTATGGGTTTCCTCCCGCCCGCCCCCCGCCCCTCCTCGCCCCCTTACCTCCCAAGACCTTCACCTGAGTCTGGGCCTCTCTGCTCCTTCAGGTGCCTCCCCACCCCGACCCTCCCTCCCTCCACCCCTCAGCGCCTCCCTCTCCCCCAGCAAAGGTGCTCCCCCCTCCTCCGTCCTCCCATCTCACCACATTAACCAAATGTTGTTATTAAACGAACACAAGTGGTCATGAATGGGTATGAGTGTGGCCATCAGAAGACTGAGGGGGCAGAGAATGACTGCATTCGGGGGCTAGGGCTTCCTTAGTAACACACTGTAGCCCAGCCCTGTGATGTCAATGCCCCTAGTATTAAGAGCAACTATTTTTTAAAAATATATCTTTATTGATTTTATAGAGGAAAGGAGAGGGAGAGATGGAAACATCAATGATGATGCAATGGTTCTCAACCTTCTGGCCCTTGAAATACAGTTCCTCATGTTGTGACCCAACCATAAAATTATTTTCGTTGGTACTTCATAACTGTCATGTTGCTACTGTTACGAGTCGTAATGTAAATATCTGATATGCAGGATGGTCTTAGGCGACCCCTGTGAAAGGGTCGTTCGACCGCCAAAGGGGTCGCGACCCACAGGTTGAGAACCGCTGTTAGAGAATCATTGATCCGCTGCCTCCCACAGGCCCCACACTAAGGATTGGGCTCGAAAACCAGGCATGTGCCCTGACGGGGAATCGAACCGTGACCTCCTGGTTCAGAGCCCGCTGCTCAACCACTGAACCACACTGGCCGGGCTGAGCAGCTTTGCTTAATGAGGCCTTTGTTCACCTGGTAAAAGCTCTTCCTGCTCAACTCCCTTTGTTCTCAGGAAGGTCCTCATTAGTTGCTAATGTGTGTGTTTGTCTCCTCAGGGACTGAGGAGGATCCATGACTTTATTTTTGGTACGGAACGATGTCTCCCAGCGGCTGGCTCCCGGGGCTGAATGGAAGAGCCCTCGCTAAAACTGAAGCAGCACAGCTTTCTCTCCCGCTCCCTGAAGCTCCCCTCCCCAAGCCCCTATGCAATAAAAGGCTAATATGCAAATTGTCCCCTTGACTGGAAGTTGAACCAGGGGGCGGGGCCCGTCTGCCAACCACCCGGGGCCTTCCACTACCACCACCCACCCCCCCCTACCTCCCCTCACTCAATGAAACCAAAGTTTACTGGGAGCAGCCAGTCCTGGAGAAGGTGTAGCTGGGGTTCCAAGTGCAGGCCGGTGTCTGAGCCTCCTGTCCATGTGACAGTGGGGAGTAGTTTAGTGTCCAAGCTAATGAAAGTCTAATAGTCCATGTGTGGAGGCCACATGGACGCAGGGGTGAGCTCCCCCGACACAGGAAGGAACGTCAGGAAGCCATTGCTGCCTGGGAGAAGAGAGAGGGCGAGAGGAAGTGCGGGCCTCTTACTTTAGGGGGTGGGCAGTCTTGCTAGCTCCTAATTGGTCTTTTCAAAGAATTCTGCCAAGGCAACATCCTTGGGATTGGTTTATATGCCTTACTGCCTTGTGATTGGTTATCTGCATGCGATCTCAGCAGTATCCATACATTTTAAAGTTCATGCCTCTCTCGCGAGTGCCCTTCCTTCCCCGCCCAGTTGGGTGCCTTAGTAACTCCGCCCCGTTGGGTTCCCGGTTCTACTTCCTTTCCCCTGGTCCACCCCTACCTACTGGCTTCCTTCCGTCTCCTCACAAGGAGGGAGGCACAGGTGTGGACCACACTCTTGACTGACTGGGTCATCGAACCAGGCAAAGTGGTCGGCTCAGAATCTCTCCTCCGCCTGGAGATGAAGACCAAAGCAGAGGTCAGTCTTAGAGATCCATGGGGACCTCAAGGGCATCTTCTCCCAACAGCCCCTCCTGCTCCTGGCACACCTGCACTCTGCCCAGCTCAGGTGGTGCAGGAACCCTCCAGGCCAGCGGGAGCGCTGTCTCCATGCAGCCCGGCCGCCCTAGGTGGTCGCTTACCTCCAACAGGAACATCCAGGTGTTAGCTGCAGAGCTGGGCGATGACTCTGAAACCAGACAACCAATGGGTCCGGGCTGCCTGTCACTACTTGAGCCAGGTCAGCAGAGACAGGGTTGAGTCATATACGCGAGTTTATTCCAATAAGGCCGGCAGTGTGGGAGAGCAGCGGTTCATCCATGAAAATCCGCTCTTCCCCATAAAGCAGCTGCTGATACTGGGTAGAAGGACAGAGATTACATGGGAAGTAGGAGTGACAGGCATGGGGAGCAGGCCAGGGGAATGGTGCAGGCTACAGGCAGTGCAGGCTGGGAATTGGTAAGGACGGGCGTCTCGGGACTGGATTGTTTCAGCAACAAGGTGGTGAATCTTTCCATCAGCAGTTCTCGACAAAGGAGAATGGGCTGCATTCCGAGGTTAACTCCCATGTCCCGGGCGTACAACTCTCAGCCAGGTCAGCATGTGCTTCCTCTAATCAGAACAGAACAATCACCACTAACAGAGCATGGTTCATACTTCTTACAGCTATAGCTAGTCCCCACTACTCGATGTCTGCCCCTAACAACTCCACAGTCACGTGGGATCCGCGAGGCTCCCAGCTCACTGCTATGCCAGCCTCGGGATACGTGGGGTCTGGGTCCTCGGGGCCCAGTGTGCAGCCACCTGGAACACCTGTGTCCTGTCAGCGAGCTGGGGGAAGAGCGGGAGAAAGGGGCAGGTGCCCAAGCTAGCTGCTGCTGAGGAAGGCCCCACAAGCTGCCATATGGAGTTTATTTCCACATCTCCCTGGCCAGGACGGTCACCCAGCCACACCTGGCAGCAAAGGAGTTCAGGAAACGGAGCCTTCATGTTGGGTAACTGGGAAAGCATCAGGGGCTGTACATGCTGAAATAGGAGCATTAACAGTGGGACATGAGTAGACTCTACCACACATGTGAGATTTTCAGCAATAAATGGGAAGCATGCATGTGCTGGATTGGAGAGTATCCCCTCCACATCACGTCCTGCTCAGAGCCTCAGAATGCGCCCTTATTTGGCCATAGGGTCCTCGCAGATGGAGTTATTTAAGGTGAGGCCATATGAAGTGTGTGTGTGTGGGGGGGCTATTCTAATCTGACTGGTGTCCTTGTAAGAAGAGGCGACACAGACTCGCAGGGGGAAGGCCATGTGAGCACAGGTTGGAGGGAGGTTCTACAAGTCCAGGACTTAGGGCAACACCAGGGGGGACAGGCCCAGCTGTAGCAGACACAGCAGCCTTCAGAGAAAGCACAGCCTGCGGACACCTTGGTCTCAGACCTCTGTCTTCCAGAGCTGTGAGAGGATAGCTTTCTGCTGCTAAGAGCACCCAGTGTGTGGTAATTTGTTAAGGTTAGGACCTGGCCGGCATGGATTGGTGGTTGAGCATCAACCTGTGAACCAGAAGGTCAGGGTTTGATTCCCAGTAGGGGCACATGCCAGGGTTGCGGGCTCAATCCCCAGTGTGGGGCGTGCAGGAGGCAGCTGATCAATGATTCTCTCTCATCATTGATATTTCTATCTCTCTCTCTCCCTCTCCATTCTTCTCTGAAATCATATATATGCCTAATATGCATATGGCTGACCATTTGACCGTTTGACCAATTGCTATGACACACACTAACCACCAGGGGGAATACACCTGACCAGTAGGTTAGTTTGCTGCTGGGGTCCGGCTGATTGGGGATTGAGTGAGATAGCTGGACATGCCCTGGAGACCTCGCGTGGTACCTCCCCAGCCAGTGTGCCTCCCGGATTGCAAGAGGACCCAGGCCAAGCCTAGGGACCCCACCAGTTCACGAATCTGTGCACCAAGCCTCTAGTAAAAATATATTTTTTTTAAAAAAAAGGGCTGGGTCTGGTGGGTGGCTTTGGAGCCAGGGCGGCTGGTTCTGGTCCTCCCCACTCTGCCCCCTCCTAACTGAGTGGCCCTGGGCAAAGCCACCTGGGTCTCCGTCTCCCACATCTGTCAGCGCTCTGCTGAGATTCCAGGGTGGTTAGTGATTGGCAGCTCCTCCCATACCCATGAGGGCTGCTCTCAGCTGGGAGCCTTGGACAACATGTCCTCTCTGCTGGTGTGGGGCCCTGTGAGCAGAATCCAGCCATTCCCTCTGCTGTGAGGCCAGTTACTGAGCTCCTGCCAGCAGGCAGCCTGCGTCCTGCAGCTTCTCCCCTAACACTGACCTGTCATTGTGGACCATCTCCTGAAATCAGTCCCTCTGGTCACCTCCTGAGGCAGGGATGAGGGTCATCTGACAGATGGGGAAACTGAGGCTCTGAGGAGCTGTGGGACTTGTCCAGCAGCCTCCCAGCTGGGAAAGAGCCCGACCCAGGCTCCTGACTGTACGTGGGAGGCCCTTCCTCTGCCCCTCGGGCCCCCTTCTCATCTCTTCCCCCAGGACGTCTCCTGCTGCCCATTCAAAGGACCAGTTCTCACTGCTCCTGCCTTTAAAGATGAGGGTGACCTGTCCCACAGCTTCTTTCTGGTTCCCCAGTGCTTGTGGGGCCTTGACCAAAGTGGTGTGGCCCTGGGAGAGAGTTGGGCAGCATCACAGGCCTGGGTTAGAGTCCTGGCACCTGGCTCTGCCACCCACCAGCTGTGAGGTGTCAGGCAAGGCCTTTCCCTCTGAGCCTCAGCTTCCCCATCTGTGCGATGGGTATAAGGGGCCGACCTTTGGGGCTTGCTTGGGAAGCAAAGGTATGTGAACGCACTCTGCAGACCTGTGAGTGTGGGCACACACGTGTGAGTATCTCCTGGTGGTAATTAGGGGTCAGCTAGTCATTCTTTGGTTTCTTCAGCAAGTCTTGATTGAGATCACAGGATGTGCCAGGCACTGTTGCAGCGCTGGGGTCCCAGCCAGACACAACAGCAACAAATGTCCCTGCCCCATGTGACTCACATCCGTGTGGAGACACACAATAAACAGTGCTCTAACATACGTGTACCATATCAGAGGCTGACCCCTGCTGCAAAGATAGGGTAGGGGACAGGGAGGGGGTCCTGGTTTCCTGGGGAGTGAGCTGGGGGTGTCTGAGCAGAGACCTGAATGAAGTGAGGGAGTGAGCCCGGTGGGTCCTTTAGAGAACACCCAGGTGAGGCACAGGGAGTGCAGAGGCCCTGGGATGGGGGCCTGTGTGTGAGGAGCAGCCTGGAGGACAGTGTGGCTCTGAGTGTGGCCACTGGAGTGGGTGAGCTGGAGGCTGTGGGGTGAGGGAGGGTGGGGACAGTGTGGGAGGCAGGGGCATCTGAAGGAGGGGTTGGCACAGCTCAGGGAAGGCAGCGTTAGTCCTGGTAGATGATTGGCGTGCTGTTTTGAGTCAGAAGTCAATAGTTAAGGACAAACTCAGAGACTTCTGCAGGCCCACTGTGTGACTCTCACTGCTTCTCTCAGTCTTGATGAAAAGGAAGTAAAAGGCAGTGAGGCCCATTTCACACCTGCTTTGCAGGGTTTTAATGAGACCCAGGAGGCTGGGGAGGGGGTTCACTGGGGGGACCTGCACACCAGGGGGCACTGAGAGGCACTGGGCTTGCTGGGGTCACATCCCCAGCAGGGCCTGTGTCCTAGTCCTGGACATCACGGAGACAGCCAGGTGACTCTCGTGTGGGGGAGGGTGGCTGCCTGCACAGGGCGGAAGCACTGGACCAACGGGTGATCCGTGTCCTGGGCATGGCACACAGGGAAGACCAGACGTCATCACACGACTCAGAAAGACAGGCAGTTTCAAACGTATGAATTGTTTATTTCTCTCTTTAAAAATATATTTTGATTGATTTGAGAGAGAGAGAGGAAGGGAAGGGAGACAGAGATAGAAACATCGATTGGCAGCCTCCTGCATGACCCCTGCTGGGGGTCAAGCCGGAAACCTGGGCACGTGCCCTGACTGGGAATCGAACCGGCGACCTCTTGGTTCATGGGTGAGGCTCAGCCCCTGCGCCACACCGGCCGAGATGAATTGTTTATCTCAGAAAGTTTCCATTTGCTATTCTCGGACCGTGGTTGACTGTGGGTAACTGAACCATGGAAAGTAAAGCTGGGTACGGGGGCTGCTGTAGGAGACACGGTTCACATTCCTGGCTCAGGACCTCCTGGCTGTGCAGCCTGGCGTTACTATAACCTGTCCTCGTCTCCACCTGTTAGAGCTGGGTAGGGCGTTGGGGCTTGGGGGGGATACGTGTGAGACAAGACAAACAAAATGAGAGAATGAAGGCGACAGGCCCGTATGTGAGGAGAGGGGCGAAGGAGCCTATGGCGAAGGAGCCTATCACTTGGAGACGTATATGTTTTTGAGAAATGAGGGAGGGAAGACTTGCTGAGGGACACTCCAGCCTGGGGGTGTAAGTCCCCCAAACCCCCGCCTCAGCGGGGCACCTACATTGGCTGCGTTGCCGCTAAGACTGTCTGAGTGCATTCCTTTCCTGCTGTGGCTGCTGTGTGTTGTCTCCTGTTCGAATTCCTTCCTACAAGGAGACAAGAGCCAAGGACGAGAGGACTGCCTCCGGCCAGCGGCTGCCCTAACCATGCAGTCGTGCCCGCGCAGAAGGCTGTGCCCAGGAAACATGCCTGAGGGGCAGGGTGGGCTTTTGTACCAGGGTGCCCACGGGACTTTTCTTGAGGATCCAAAACTAGGGCCAATGCTCAAAGCTGAGGCCAAGGCACGCTCAGTCCCCTCTCTACAGGGAGTTACCTAGGAGCTGCCAGCAAGGCCAGCCGCTGCACCCCCACCTGCCACGAACTAAGAGGCAACAGAAGCACACCCTTGGCAAAGCCACCTCGCCCACCCCTCTCCTTTGAACCCTGACCACAAAGGTGGGCACGCACCCATCTGCACTCCTTTCCAGTTCCCAACCACTCCCCACCCATTACCGTCCTCCTCTTCACTCTGCATCTGAAGCCACAGAAAACTGACCTGTCCACGCTCCTGCTCAGCCCCTGGCAGACCCGCGACCTAAACCCCGGGCTGAGCCCTGAGGGCGGAGCTCTCTCCCCGGCATAGCTGTGACACCATCAAAGGAGGAAGCGAATGCCCAATCACCTTTTTAAAAATCATCTTTAATGTGTTTTTAATAGTTTTTGCCTCAATTACCAGATAAATCATCTAAATAAATAGATGCTATACAGTCTGTTACCAATATCAGTACAAAAATAAACCCGAGCTCTGCATCCACTCCGGCTCCCCCAGCACCCACCCACTCACAAGAGGCAGGTGCTGGGGACGGTGCGTGCCAGCCCCTCCCGATACATTCATTTCGTCTGAACAAAGCTCACTGCTCATTCTGTGCAAAGGAAGCGTTCTTGTGCTGAGACCTGGAGGCCAGGCTGGCCACTTCTAAAGCGAAGCTACGCGGAAGCATAGCGCCTTCCCCAGCAGGGGAGGAGGGGGCGTTGGCAACGGGCTCGATGGGGTGATGATCATGGGCTCGGCTGCTGCATGAGGAGTGGCCTTGCCAGGGGTGGAGGACAATCTCCTGTCTGATCCCACAGCGGGGGAGGGGGGGGGAGTACCAACTACATTCAAATGGGTGGGGGTGGGGCGGGCCAAGGGAGGCAGGAGGTCCAATCTTTCGAAGCATCCACTCCCTGGAGTACTGGCCTTCAGTGTGGAAGCAGGCGAGGTGGGAGGCGGGGACACTCAGGGCTGGGAGGAGGCCACACCCAACCCCTCATTGAGGTCTGTGTGCTGGGGGCGGGGTCCTAACAGGCCAGAGCCCTTCCCCCAGGGAGCAGGCTCTGCAGGGTCAGCCCTCTCTGAGACACAGGACGCCCGTGGGCTGGAAAGGGCTAAGTCAAAGGCAAGAAGGGTCTGGTTGCTGCTGCCTCATTCCACAACAGGCCCCCATGCCCCAATTCTGCAAGTTCTACACACACAGCTTATCGGGATGCACTGCCCAGCCCCTCCTTGGCCATGTTTTCTGAGATATTGTTAGAGTGTTTTCCCATAGCTTGAAGCAAGCAGCCTGCACCTGCAGAAGCAAAATAAGATTCACTCCCCGCCGACTCGGGCGCTCCCTCTGTCTGGTGGACACGTGCCCCCCTCCCCAGACACCCTGCTGTCTTCCAAGGACGTCCTGCTCAGGCAGCAGCCCTGACCCCGGCCTGTATGAGGGAACACAAACACTCCCTCGCTGACGCGGGCACACGGGGCTCAGGGGGTTCAGCCCGCGGTGAGAACGTAAACTTTCTTAAACTCTGTCTCTCGGCCTGGCTCCTGGTGGTGCGGACCTAACACACTCTCTGGGAGGGCCCATGAGCCAGGACGAGGTCCTGTGTCCCCTGGGGAATGAGTATGACTTATACTAGAAGCTGCCAGCCTGTCCCAAAGCCATGAGCAAACAGCATTCCACTAGAGACCTCCCAGCCCACCCCCCTCCACGCCTCGCCTGGGAGCCCCAGTCCTGGGAAGGTCCCAACTCCAGCTGCCTTTCCCTCCCAGGGGCACAGCTGCCCCTCCTTCCCCTGACCCACCCCCACTTAAGCCTCTAGATCCAACTCCCCAGGCCGGGGTGAATCAAGTCACCCCGAGGGGACTGTCCCCAATGGAAGCACTGAATTGACCCTGGACAGTGAAGAAATAAGGAGGAAGGGGAGAGAGACCAGGGATTTGAGAATCTTGCCAGCAGGGCACCCAACGCAGAAATGGGGTGCGGTGTCTTTGGTTTGGGAACTGGGGAGGGGGCTTGGGGAAGGAATAGCCCTATCCTGCCTCAGGACACAGCGGGGAGGGCGGCCCTGGAGGGCAGGCAGAATGGGGGAGGGGGGAGGGCCAGGCTTGTACTTGCCCTCCTGCACTTCCCGTCCCCCCACCCCCTCCCCTGCCTTGTGGCCTCTTCTGCCCACAGGGTTGGGATGGGGCAGAAGCCACTCCTCACTGCCAGGGGAGTGACCAGTCCACAGGGCACATTGGTGCAAACTAGTAAGTGAGTGCCCTCCGGCTGGCAGACACAGCCTGTGCTGGAGGGGCGGCCTGGGGGCTTTGTGCAACAGCCTGCCCCCCCCCCCCCCCCCCCCGGAGGGGTGAATGGGGGGAAAAAAATGGAAAAGCCCCCCCCCCAAGGAAAAAAGGCCACCCCACCTTTCGGAAATTCGGCATTTTTTTTTCCGGGGGGCAAGGGGGCGCACAAAAATGAAGGAAGGAGGGATTGGGGGAGTTTAAACCTCCCCCTGGGGAAAGGGGGGGGGATTCCCCTCCCGGGCCCGGGCCGCCCCAACCCCCCCA